GCTTCTGAAACCTGTTGCCTTTGTTTAAGTAATATTTACATTTTGATGACCACCAGATTCTATATTATCATTTTCTGCTGTGTAAAACCTTTTTTAATTTATGTGAGCTGTGATAATATGCTAAGAATCAGGTTCCAGTTTTGTGGATAATGCTTGAAATGTTACATTTTAGCTTTAAGGGAGGATTTTCTCTTCTAAACAAATGCAGTTTTGAGCTACCCATCTTACTCAGTGCTGCCAATACTGAGCCCAGAAGATAGACTACTTCCTACTAACCCACCATGCTCCCTCTCAATCCTCATTCATTCATCAATTCCACCTCCCCCCCCAACACACACACACTCACACTCTCACATGCACATTTCCCTACCAAGCTATCCCCTGACCCAACCCAACCTCCCAAACTAAGTTGCCTTTTTGATAAACCCAACTACAGAACAGGTTACTTTAGAAGTAACAAAAATTTCTTAACAAAAGCTTACTGACATTGGCGCAATTTTTCACCATGATATACATTTTGATATTTGCAATATTCTGCATTACTGAACATACATGTTACAAGCAACATTAGAGTTGATAATGTTGTAATGTAGCCAATAAACACATTCTAAAAAAAACAGTTGCAGTTTTAAGGATGCTTAATGTTCTATTTTTTTCTGATTTAGGATTTCTGGACAAGAACCGTGACTTGCTGAGTACAGATTTTTATCCTTATGATCCACTCCTCTACAAATAAATTCTTGAAGCAGATCTTCCAGCTAGATAAAAATACTAATAATGCTTCAATTCGTGGAATTATCCGAAACTCAGGCTTCAGCGGCCAGAAGGTTGTTTCCATACTTTCAAAACTTGAATAACTTGGGCCTTTGTCTTCTAATTTGTTTTATGCACTTTTATTGTCTCTGAAAAGAACATTTCACATGATATACATTTTCATTTACAGTTTATTTTCAATAGAAACAGTTGACCTGGCCCTTTATTGATATTCAGGTCCACAATGCCCAGTATAGAAATGCTTTATTAGCCGGATTATAAAAGGTCCGCGCGGACTTTTGGGGGCTGCCAACCGAGAGAGGCAGGGGAGCGGCCGACCGAGAGGAGGAGGGGAGCATGCCGAGTTCACACAGACCGACCGATCTGGGTAGAAGAGGGGCATTTGTTCTACACCATTCTTCTCTTTAAAATTCCTTACTGCCTTCTAGCAAATCCACCCCTTCCTTTCTAAAACTCTTAATTTGCTGCTCAGCTTCTCAACTCTGCCATGGACTGAAGAAGGGAGAGAAATGTCATACTGGAGCATTGTGTTATAAAGAACACAATTGCCTAGGCTTTCAGCTGAGAGGTAAACCAGCATTTTCTATGGAAAAATACCATAGCTCTAAAAATATAGATAGTAATAGTAATAAGAAATCAAAAGAAAATGTCATAACTCTCAAAAACTTTCATAAACACAACAAATACATTAAACTGAAATAAAAATTAAGATAGTTTAAGAACTACTGGACCTTTTGACAGTAAAGCCTAATTTTATGTTGCATAAATAATAAAGTAGATGTAAACAAATAGTACCCATTTTCTCTTAAAATTACTTGCCTGTTCCTGGTTGTGCCACTTTTTTTTTTTTTAGTAATGTAATGTAACTATTGCACATACAGAACCAGACAAGTGGTTATACAAGATTTACAGTCTAAACAGAAACATTCCTATATAGTTTCTAATGGCAAAGATAGATCTCCAAATATAACCTATCAGGCAAGTAGGACAACTCTAAGTATTGGAACATTACTTAGTATTAGGACAACATGTCCCAGGTTTGCCAAGTAGAAGTTCATTCTAAATTAAGCAGTGTTTAATCCTTTGTGTCCTCTGCTCACCTGCAGATCTCAGACACAAACAAGTCTTTACCTACTCTTGGAGGACAGTTCAAGCAGTCACTGGAACAGCTAATGAAAATTCTGGGAAATTGCCAACCTTACTTTGTTCGTTGTATCAAGCCCAATGAGTTTAAGAAGCCATTGGTATGTGAAACCTTTTTTGTAGATATTGTTTGTAGAGTTGCTTTAGAAAGCATTTAAGAGAAAACATCGCCATCTTCATACCTGCTTTTCAGTTCATTAATTGCACAACATTTTGTGTATATTAAAATTACACACAAGATAACATGCTTCTCTAGATGCTTGACAGTAACAGATATATTGTGGCATAGATATCTGGGCACACGTTTTTAAGGTCAGCAATTTATTGCATGTTATCTCAGTGCCAAATATTGGCCCTGTCATTTTAGAAGAAAAACATTTAAATTGCTTGACACAATATTATCATTAATGGTAGGAATGTGTACTAATTGTTTCATGATACCATATTTTTATTGTGATTACAGAAATGTTTATGGCACATCTTGAGTTTGGGATTCAATTTATGGCCTAGGATGAGTTTTAGGGTTAGATATAGAGTCTAGGTTTAGGGGTTCAGCTGAGATAACATTTCAGGTAACTTAACCACTTGCTCTCCTGAGGATGTACCCTCCTTCCTGACCAGGCCATTTTTTGCGATGCGGCACTGCTTTATTTAACTGACAATTGCGCGGTCATGCAGTGCTGTACATAAATGAAATTGATATAGGCCAAAATGTACTCTGCTACATGTCTTTGATAAAAAATCCCAATAATTGTATATTAATTGGTTTACATGAACGTTATAGCATCCACAAATGGCGGTATAAATATTGGAATTTTTATTTTTTTATACCAGTAATGGTGGCGATCAACGACTTATTGCGGGACTGCGACACGCATTCTGTCACTGGGTGGGAACTGACTAAATGCCACTGACATTCCCAGTGACACTAATACAGTGATTGGTGCTAATAAAAAGCACTGACACTGTACTAATGATACTGGTTAGGAAGAGGTTAACATATGGGGCGATCAAAGGGTTAACAGTGTGCTGTGTGCGTTTTACAGTGTGTGCTGTTTTACATTTTTTTTTGGTTAATAATTGTGCTCATAAATATCGTACTGGATACATATTGCTGATGAAAATAGGACATACTTTTAGTTCAGTGGTAAACAGTTAAAATGTATCTAAAGCCAAAAAGCCAAAACGTTTTCTTTTTAATTTTGGAAAGAGTAGAGAATAGTTAAAACCACTGTCACACATTTTTGCTGCCTGTGTCCCAACAGGAAGATTTTGTTTTACTTCCTGTGTTGGAGACATAATGGAAATTAAAGAAAATCTCTGTAAAGTAAAGGAAATCTTCTGTTAGACAGTTGTTACCCAAACAAGTGCCCCCAGTTTTTTTTTCTTTTTGCTCGTGTGTTTTTGGATTGGGTCTCTCTTGACATTCATATCAGACCACCATTAAGGATACAGATCTGGTATGTATTTTTAAAGGGAAACCCCACATCTTTATTTGTGTGGGGTCCTCCATTACATCTATACTAGAACCTCATCTCAAACAACATAAATTACTTTTTTTCTTTGTCAGTTTTGCTGCAGTAGGCTGTATACATTGTGCACTTCACAGGCAAGGGTATCCTCCAAGCATGTTTTTTAAAGAAATTTAGCTTTTTTTATGGTTCACTTTAATGCAATGCAATACGCTTGTGACCTGTGTTTGGGGTGTTGTTAACGTTTAACTGATCCTCGCAGCAGATTGCAAGGGCAGTGCGATCAGAATACGATGTTGGAAGCCACATGGGACTGCTCTTCCACACCGCATTCTAGTGTTAACGAGCCCTGACAGCAAAAAAAAAATAAAATTCTACATGCGTTCCCAGCTCCACTCAACTAAAATGCTATCACAAAAATCATATTTATCTGAAGAACATTTCATTAGTTATACTCTATTGAGTATACTGATGTAGAAGTGAAACTTACTGTACTGATGAATAATCGTGTCAGCAAGGAAAAGCCAAAAATGTTGTTAGTGCAGACACCTCAATTTTCAAGTTCCTAAGAGACATAAAAACTGGATGGGGGATTTAGCTTACCAGTATCTACCTTCAGCTGAAAAATAAGTTTTGAATGGATGGATTTTTAGATTTTTTAAACTTACAAAGGAAATTTTATTTGTGCATTTAGGAAATTTAGGAGACTTACTTTCCAGGTCGAAATAAGGTAGAGGCCACTACAATGAATTGATTTAAATGGGTCAAGGTTAGAAGATCCACAAAGGTAACATTAAAAACTCTAATGTCTTCAACTTTAAAATGTTTTCTTTGTGTTTCTCAGCTCTTTGATCGTGAGCTTTGTATTCGGCAACTAAGATACTCTGGAATGATGGAGACCATACGAATCCGAAAAGCAGGATATCCTATCCGATACATCTTCTCTGATTTCTTTCACAGATTTCGAGTGTTACTGCCATTAGATTCTCAAAGTCGCAATAAGGTAAAATATAGCCCAGTCTGATAAATGATCGTGTTTAACCACTAGCCTACAGGGCACTTATACCCTCTTCCTGCCCAGGCCAATTTCCAGCTTTCAGTGCTGTCACACTTTGAATGACAATTGCGCGGTCATGCAACACTGTACCCATATGACATTTTTATAATTTTTTTGTGACAGATAGAGCTTTATTTTGGTGGTATTTAATCACCTCTGGGTTTTTTATTTTTTCTTAAACAAACCAAAAACCACAGAAAATGTTGAAAAAAAAAATTTTTTCTTAGTTTTTGTTATAAAATTTTGTAAATAAGTGATTCTTCTCCTTTACTGATGTGCTCTAATGAGGCTGTAGTGATGGGCACTGATAGGGTGCACTGATGGACACTGATAGGTGGCACTGATGGGCACTGATGTGGAGGCACTGATGGGCATTGACAGGCATCACTGATAGGCACTGAAAGGCAGCACTCATATATGGCACTGATAGGCGGCACTGTCAGGCAGCACTGACTGGCACTGATAGGCGACACTGAATGGCACTGTTAGGTGGCACTGACTGGCACTGTTAGGCGGCACTGATAGGCAGCATTGACTGACACTGATAGGTGGCACTGATAGGTGGCACTGACTGGCATTGATAGGTGGCACTGACTGACACTGATGGGTGACACTGAAAGGCAGCTCAGATGGGCACTGATATGTGGCATTGATGTGCACTGGTAGGCACTGAAATGTGGCACTGATGTGGCATGGATGAGCACTGACAGCTGGCACTGATAGGCACTGACAGGTGGCACTGCTGGGGCTACACAGATCATCAGGGCACACTGATCATCAGTGCTTTGATGATCTGTGTACATGTCCCCTCCGAGGAATGCTGATTACTGGCTCTCCTCTCCTCACGAGCTGTCAGCGTGACAGCTTGTGAGGAGAGAAATGCGGATAACCGGCATTTCCCTGTTAAAATGTGATCAGCTGTAATTGGACACAGCTGATCACATGACCAAGCTGACATCTTCGGCTCTTTCTGTTGATCGGTGATCCGCTATGTCCGAGGGACACAGCACACCACCGATCGCTGCGCTACGCGCTCCTGGAGCTGCGCATGCACAGTTAGAATGTCATATGACGGCCTCCCAGAACGAGAGAACCGCTTTGCGCCCATCATTGTACTATATGGCGGGTGGGAGGCGGTTATTATTATAAAGACTAGCAACATTGAAAACCTTATCTTTAAAAGCCCTGCTCCAGCCAAAACTAAAATAAAGCAGTTTTGGCTGGACTGATAAATTTGCAGTAAGTCAAATTATTGTAAAACTGGTCTATTGTGTTTTGTCTACTTTATAAAACTATTAGTTTGAGGGGTTTTAATAGATTAAATTAAAGAAAGTCATTCCAAAGCAAAGAGTGAAACAAAATAACATTACTAGGTTTAGTAAAAAAAACATTTTTAAACAATATGTTTTTCTTGAAGTTTAAGGATGTTTACAAACAGAGAAGAAAAATAGGTTCTAATGTCATCCTCATGATGTTCATGATCAATCATAAATGACCACAAGAATAAGCTATTTCAGTAATGTTGTACAATCAGTATATCAGGGATAGAGACTAATGAGGTTAGTCAGTTAGTTTTGTGAAGATAAGATCCATTTACAAATGGTTTCTTGTGTGAAAGAGTTTGGACCGTCACCAATCTAATGAAAAGGGCCAAGAGTGGCTTAGGGTTTAAGAAAGAAGGGAGTTATAGAAATAAAAGATCTTTAGAAGAGAGGGGTTAAGGAGGGGAGGGCTGTCCAGGTAATAGCATGTTAAGCTATGAAATTCACTCTTTCAAAGTATTAGAGCATACAGATGTTCGCTGGGTAAAGAATGATAATTTTTTCCCATTTTACATTTTTTGAGCAGTTACATTTTTGTCAAATTAAGCACTTTTATTCCACACAATATTCATTCATGAGATCTTCTCCAACTTTCTATGAAACTATCTGCCATAAATATCCAAGAGGCAAGGGTATTATCTCTGACTTGTATAAAGATCTGATTAGTGATGATCCCACACAGAAATTAGATTACATGTTAAAATGGAAGTGAAGGTGTTCTAACCCGTACTCCTGAGAAATGGAATAAAGCCATTGATAAAATTTGCAAATCCACTAAAATATAAAAGAAACTGATTTGAAAGCATTCACCATGGTGGTACCTAACCCCAACTAAACTGCATGCCATCTATCCCAAAGTATTCCCGCATTACTTCAGAGGTTGCCCTCTCCCTGGCAATTTTGTATTTATCTTTTGGTCCTGTGTTAAAATTGGTCCAGTCTGGTTTAAGATTGATGAGCTAGCATCTAAGTTAGCGGGAAACCTTCTTAAAATCTCCATGGTCAACTGTTTGCTCTTCGTTCTGGTACCTAAAGCCTCTCGTTCCTCTGGGGGTTGATAAACACCGCTTGTGTTGCTGCCCATTGGGATATCAACTTTCACTGGAAATCAATTGATGTACTTGGTGTGTGTATCAGAAACCGATTAAACTCCATAATGCTTATAAAACAAATGTTTCATACTCTGCATCATACTATGCCCCTTTTTCCATAAACAATGGGATCTGTGGCATGATTGTTAATCATTATTTACATGTTTTTCTACCTGATTGGATTTATAATATGTCACTTGTCTTGTTCCTTTGTGACTTAGAAATTTGCATATATTCATACCAACCATGTCTACATCTTGCTCTTTTGTCTTTTTTCCTGATTGTATTAATTAATTAAGTAGCTTCCAGTTTTTGTTGTGCTGTTCACAATTCATGTATCCTAAAATACTGAGCATCTTTCAGGATGTAAACAAAAAAAAAAAAATCAAAGTGCGCTAATAGAAGTAATAGTGATATAGTAAAGTGATCACCAGGTTAATAGGCTGCAAAAATCAAGGCAGTCACAGAGCAGTATTCAAGGAAGCCACACCTCTGAGAACTGTGAGTATCTGTTATGACAGCTATGTATATATTTACTTTAAATTGGAGGAGCAAGATTAGGTGAAGGTGTCTATTTTTCACATATTTTAGATATTTTAGGTGCTGCAAATTTAGGAAAGCTCTTTTATGTGGATAATTGATGCTCATGCTGTCATGTAAACATTTTTACATACTTTTTGCATTAATTTCATTTGCATTACTGTTGCAAAAGATATAAATTTCTCTTTATTAGTGGGATCATCAGGCTTGCAGTGTTGATATTTGTGGTGCTGTTATTGGAAAACATGAAGATTGGAAAGTAGGAAAAACAAAACTTTTTCTAAAGGTAATGATTAATAGTACTTTCTTCAAATGTAGATATAAATGTATCTATTTAACCCTTTTGCTGTCAGCTCAGTTTTTTTAGGCCAGTAGATTAGTTAAAACCCCCAAACAGTCTATATTCTCTGAAAGCAGAGATATTGGAAAATAAAATTTTAGTAGATTATACAGGTCATCAGTTTCGAGTTACAGTAACTGTGAATAATGGAACTAGAATTTCTGCTCTCACTCTGGCATGCACAGATATATGTAATATGTGTAATGAAATCTATACTTTCATACATAGGTTCCTCCAGCATATGTGTGTATGTACATATTTGCATGGGGATGGGGCTCAAAGTTTTTGGAAGGGGTTTTTAAGTGCTTGGGTGTACTTTTTAGCTTTTACATTTTTTTCCACTTAACATTATTGATATTACAGCCAGACCAATAGCCCCCCTATACGATAGTATACTCCTATACTGAAAAGAAAAAGGACCGAACTGCTAAGTATGGTAAGGCTATGGATTCTTTGGGCACAGTAAGAGACCACACAATAAAATACATATAACCATTTATTGGCATAAAAGAATCATATGTCCGTAATAGGACCCATTGTACAAAAGATACTATTCAAAACAGACGCTAAGAACAAAGCACATCAAGTTGAGCACAAACCCCCCTCGTGTATAGTAAAGGATAACCACTCAGCACGTAGTGACAACATACATATATTTTAAAATACGGTCAACACTATTCGCCTGTGCATTTGGCTTCTTCAGGACCGTAGCTTAAAGATGAGGGAGAGTAGTGCTACTGCATAAAGAAAATACTAAATAAATATACAAACAAACATATAGATGTAAATAAGGTGGACACAATATACATACAAGAAATGAGGCTGAGCTTACGTGGAGACGGTAAGTCAGTGGCATAGATATCTGGAGGGCGGACATAGGGGACCAGGGATGGAGGAGAGGCCTGAGCACAAAGGCCAACCTTAATATAAGGAATTTCTATAATAGGAAATATATAAAAATGTACCACCAGGAACAAATGTAAATAGAACCATATGGTTTAAATTGGCCAGTACTCACAGAAAATATATAGATTGTTAGTTTCCAGTACAGACAGAACAACCTTATCTCCGCAAGAACATAAGAAAGAAAGAGAATGGCTAGAACAGTGGTGGGCCTGCAACATAACCATATGTTAATAAGATAAGTTAACCAAGATAAATGTACTTGACATATAAGGCAGGATACAAGTTACAATCCACCTGCATATCTGACCAGCAAAAGTAAAGTAGTGACCTGTTCACATATATAATCTCAGTCCAGCCGGAATCCCAGATATTCCCATATATTTGAAAAGCCAGATGAAATGGCAGACTAATTGGCTGATGAAACCAATAGTCATCCGAAATATGCTACTTATAATGCCAAACAATAATCAGTGACAGGCTGACAAAAATAGAACAAGAGGGAAAGCACACGCAGTGTACATTTAAGTACTCAACCTTAATATGGCATGCGTGTATGACATCACAGTAGGTTTGCACCCAGATCTTCATAGGCATCCTCTGTGAAAAAGATGATAACTAAATAAAAACCACTCTAAGTAGGGAACTGAACGTGTACCACAAAGGGAGGTAACCCCCTAAAAAAACGGCTATAAAGGTAATACCTGTCAGAAGGAAACAGAACACGCCACGCTGCACCTGATACCCCCACCCGGCCGCACATGGAAGGCCGCAGGGAAGCATGGCCCAAATCCAAGATGGCGAGGTGTACGTCACCCCTAAATGGGCCCGCATGGATGACGTCAGATGCACACGCGGCCTCAGGAAGTGGCGTGCATGCGCTGAAGACCATTGGCGCAAGCACAGTGACATAGAGGAAAGTCCCCAGGAGAGGAGACAAAAAACGACCACTCCGCAGTCACCATCCCAAAGGGGAGAATGGCAGGCAAATATGCCCGCCCCCAGACAGGAAGCACCAACACCACTCCACAAGAGGCCGAAAGCCATCCGATCAAGCAAATAATACCTAGAAATACAATAATAAGGCATAACAAATAGCACTGCAATCTAGTACAGATAAAATAGGCGGATACAGTTAACAGCAAAGGGATTCAATACATTCACAGAGATGACCATGATAACACCTAGACCGACAACAGAGGGTATACAATTATTGAAAAGGCTTATAGCTTAAAGCTTCATTTAACCCTGGAGGTGAGGTGGCTTTTAATTGGTAAATCCACCGTGCCTCCCGTTGCAAGATATATTTATCAAAATCCCCTCCTCTGGAATTTTCCTTGATACGTTCTAATGCAGCAAATCTAATTATCTCGATATTATGTTTATGGCATAGACCAACAGGTCAATCTATAGGGGTAGATAATATGCTATTGTTGATGTAATATATATGATCTTTAATCCTAAGCCAAAATTGGCGCTTAGTCTTGTCTACATAAAAGCCTCTGCATTGGTAAAACATAAAATAGACAATTCCTATAGTTTGACCATTGGGTAAGTATAGTGATTGATTCTCATAAATCCAATTGCTGAAGTTACATTTCCCGCATTTCCATGTTCTTAACGTGTCCTCATCATTAGGAAGCCCCACTTGTTCAAAATGACTCCTAGTAACCGTGTCCCTGATGGAGCGGGCTCTTTTATTGGTAATTTCCGGATAGTTTT